ACCGGTCCTACTGACCTCCTGTGCTCTGCTGCTCAGATACAAAATAGTCACCCAGAGCTGCCATCTTCTCTTGCCAAGACATGAGCCCAGTGGACCCAGTGGCCTTTAATGCCTGTTCATCTGAAAGGGTCACTGACTAGGCAAGGTATCCAACTTGGTCCAACTAGACACACGGACACTGGGTGATCATTACTAGGAGGCCAAGTTGGGGGGAGTGGGGTAAATTAGGGGGTAAAACAGTTCCCAGGAACGGGTAGGGGTAGGGAAGAATAGCTCACCACAAGAGAGGATACTCCACGAACAGGAGGGTATCTCGGAACAAGAACTATTTTTCCAGAGTCACGATGAGAAGGGAGGTTGTGCCGTATACAAGGCTCTGGGCCGCAAGACCCGCTCCCCAGTCCTGGTCCTGCCACCACCAGGTGGGTCGGCTTCAGGCAATCCCAACCTTTTTGAAGCTTGGTTCTATCATCCTTGGGCAGGAACTGTGTGTCTCACTCCGAGTATTCCAGTACCAAGGCCCTGGTTTCATAATGCATCACACTCCCTTCTCATTCCAAATGAGACAACATAGTTGTGAGTACTTGGTGAAGAGCAAAATCTGGGTATTAATCTGGAAGCTGCTCTGAAATGCAATTTCCAATACAATACGCCTCTTCCCTTGCTTAGGAATCTGGGCCTTTTGCCTCCTAGCAAGGTGCCCTCAGCAGGTAGGGAATGTCAGACACCCCAAGTCACACCTCCCACACAAGAAAGCCAGGTGAGGCATTTTCCATGGGCAGTGCACACGTTTGGCCTACCGTCCCCTGCAAGCACACTCCTTTCCTGGCATGTGGGCACAAGTGGAGTTGTCAGCTGCAATTCCTCTCCGCAGCTTATCAGAGGTCAAGGCCCTTAGTGCACAAGAAGACCCTCTATTTGTAATCATGGGAGCAGTGTGCATCACAGGGAGATGGGACCCTCGTCACTACCCTCTAGGTGAGGTTATGGTGACGCCTGCCCACCTGGTTGGAAGATTATGACAGAGATGTGTGATGAGAACCAGGCCAAGTTAGACTCTTTGTGACTTTTAAAAAATGAAATGCACTTTAAAAACAGAAGCCGCACAGGCAGATGGAAACTGGGAGTGAGTTAAGCAAGAGCCAAATGACAAGACAAACAAGGATGGGGAAAGAGGACCCAGGGGAGGTGGCAAAACAAGAACCGCTTCCAGTACACACAAGCACAGACACTGGCGAGAGAGACCACAGCCCACGAGGAGGAGGCAGGGACCATGTGCCATTAGAGGTGGGGAACACGGCTGAAAGGTAAACACCACCTCTGCCTCTGTCCACAAAGGATGGAAGATGCCAGAAGCGGCTGTGTCCTGGAGAAGGGTCAAAGAGAAAAATATTACCAAGGGAAATGAAAAGTGACACCTGAGTTTATGTCATGGGGTTGACATGAATGCCAGAAACAATAAAAGTATTTTCCTAGTACGATCAACTTTAAACAGGGACCCTGGGCAGCAGGCCACACTGCCTTGTAAGGGTCTGAAGAAGTGGAAGAGCCCTTCACTTCTGGCCAGATGTAAAAAATTCATCTATACATTAAAAGAGAAAACCGTCTTTTCTTCACCGGACAAGAGCAGGTGTCAAGTATTTTCTTATAATTTTGGGGGGAGGGTGCGGTGCCCATGGAGAGAAAGCCAATAAGCATGTGCAGACTGTTTCAAGGGAGGACTTCCCGAAGCCCTGGACTCAGTACAAACCAGCACCAAGTGTCCTACCCCTCAACACAGTGCTCCCACCTAGACTTCAGCTAGGGAGGCTAAGGTTGTACTCAGTCCTAGCAGACTCTTACCATGCAGTCAATGAAGGGATTTAGAACAGGCTGCTGAAGTCATGGCTATAAGAAAACACAACTGGCCCCAACAACTAAGCCATCAAATCAAATTTTGACTCGACTGAGCCGATCACATGGCAACAGATGTGAGGGCTTAACAGACTCTGAGAACGAGAATGCAGGTCCTCAGAGAAAGAAATGTCTAGGATACATGATTCCCTCAGAACAGCCCCAAGTCCCCCACATTGGAGAGGGGGGTGATACTTGGACACCATTTCTTGTACCCCCAAAGTCATGACTGAGGCACCCTTACAGCTGTCCTGGGCTCTGCCTGAAGTTGTGGAGCCAAATGGGTGTAAAGTGCATTATAGGGCTCGTCTACACACATGCAGAGGCTCCAGGTAGTGGGTACTAGGCTGCACCAATGTGCTCCAAAAAACGGAAATTCCTCACCAGTGCTGATCCTGTCCCTTGTTCCCCGTCCCAAATAATTTGGAGTTAAATAAACCACTCTTCCAACCTGTCCAAAGAGTTTTGGCTTCCAGTATGGGAATCTATACTAATAAGCAAGTTCCAACTCCCACACGACAGCATGTCCAGGCCAAGGATGCAGGAACCACAGCTTCTCAGTACTCACAGGCGCACGTGTGCCTCCTGCCTGTCATCACACAACTGATCACTGTCACCGCTTCCCTACACCCCACAAGGAAGGGGTCCCCCTCTGTGGGGACAGCCCAGAGCATTCTCCAAGGCACTTCTGACTCCACCTTCCTCTGTCAGGCACCTGTTTAGTCAAAGGCTCACATGGAATCTACATTCCATTCATTTCTACAACAGAGTAGGTACTTGATAAATATTTAAATGTAGAGAGCCCAGAATTCTCATGGGAAAAGATGCCCAGTAAAAGAAAATGGGCCAACAATGCATTACACACTCAGTTCATTTGAGAAATGTTTACTCTAAAAATGGAGTTTACAACTAAAATAAATAATTCTTCCATAACATCCTGGTATCCCCACGCCAGGGCTCAAAGGCAGTGTGGTTTGAGTGAAGACACAGGTCTCCTAAAGGATGTCACAAAACCAACGTGAACAATGGAGTAGCATCTCAGAAGACACTAACATTTAAATATTTAGATGCTGCACATGAGAAATCACATCCATCTTCACTAATTAAATTAGATAGCCACATTTCAATTGCCAAGCTTCCAAGTGGGGAGAACATTCTTTCAGCTTACACTGATATTTGAATAAGGCATTGGGAGCAGGGAAGCATTCTCTCAGGCATCTTCATTAGTGCTGTTTTTTAAAATGTTTTATAAAGCATTATCCATGAGTTGGGTTCACACCAAATATCTTTCACTTTCTTGGTTTTTAGCACTGAATTTTCCTTTAGATTAACATGCTAGTTTTTCCTGTCTTTTTGTTCTTGGGTAAGTGAATGATTTATTAGACCTGGTACTTAGTTTATGAGTTCTTCTCATTTCAACGTGAAGAAACTGCAAATATTTATAGCAGAAGAATCATGTTATTTGTTCCTGAAAATGTCAGAATACAGAACTCAGATCAGATGCCGAGCAGCAGTTATTCCCAAGCAGGGCATACTGTAGTAACTAAACGTCCATTGACAGGTTTTCTTTCAGTTTTTCCCACTACAATAATTTGTAAACTTAAAACTACAAAACTCTTCCATTAAGTGTGTATTCACATGCTGCTGAGTTATGGAACCTAAACAATCAAGGACTTGAAGAACCACACTTTTCAAAACCAGAATTGAATCGATACTGTTAAATTAATCTTATGCTGTAAGGAATACAGTAATTAAGGTGCTGTTTGAATTTTCCTTCCTTTTTATCTTGCATGCCAACACTCCAAAGGAGCTTTGTCTAACTCCATAATGAAATTCCAGGCCTAGGCAATTAGAATGCAGGGAAATGAACCAATTGAGCATACACCCTACGAGGACAGGGCCGTGACCAGTTTTGTCTGTCAACATGCCCCTCGGCCTAGTACAGTCACACTCAATTTGTGTTGACTGAAATAGCAGGTGCGGGTACAGATCAGAACACCCTCTTGAAGGCATCTGGCAATGCTGGTGAAAAGCCTTAATTCTGTACACCTTTGACTAGGATCAACACAAGAAATGATTACATATGTGAGCAAGTATTTAGATTCTAGAATGTCCAAAGCCCTGAGCTTTTTAAAGCAAGACCTGGCTCATAGCCTGGCATCCTGGACACGTTGCCTGGATGTACCCCTCAGCTTAAGTACAGAGAGGCTGCTGTATACCAACCAGTTCCAGGGGTTTCACCCAACCCCAGTGAACATCAAACCTCATAGCCACCCCGGAGGGTGATGAGGGTGAGGCACAGAGAGGTTAGGTCTCTTGTCCAAGAACACACTGGAAGAAGACAGGTTCCAAACCGCTGTCTGATCCTAGAGCCCCAGTGGTACCGTCGAAACAATGCTGAGAAGGTGAACACCTCTCAACAGGTTCTGCCTCCACCCATCCTCTTTTCTGATGCTTCTCCCCAGGGGCCAGCACTAATGAATCTCAGGAACACCTGCCTGACAGAACTAATGGGTCTAGTGTCACACAAGTAGCAGGTCCTTTGTAAATCTTTCAAATGCAAAATCCATAACATTTTTTCCAGTGTGCCACTGTTCTCCTGATTGCTCCTTCCCCATTTGTTGCTAGTGGAATTCTATTCCATGGTTTGGAAAGATAAACACAAACTTCTAACAAAGCCAGAGAAACAAAATGAATTTCACGTTCCTATAAAATATGGTCCCTTGCTGAAATGCTTTTTAAAAAAACTTGTGTCCAATAGCCTGTGAGGACAGGGACTATGTGGTATCATCTGGAGAAATGGAAAGGGCTGACAAGCAGCAGTCAGGCGACTCTGGGCCTGGGATGAGTGGTCCTAGGCTTCTGGGGCTTGCATGGGAGCAATGAAGCATAGACACCCACAGCAGGTGCCAGCCTGGGCCCAGGGTCAGGGAATGCAGCACTGGAGCATGGACAAAACGGGTACCTGAGGTGGCAATGATGGGCCTGAGGGTCTGAGCGCAGGGAAACTTCTGGTCAAGCTTTGTTTTTTACCTTCTATAAATAAACAAGTGTAAGTAAACAAAAGTAAGCTAATAAAACACATCTAAAACCAAATGAGAACATAATCAAGATTTTGTTCTCTTTTATTACTGGCTAGAAAGACAATGTTACAGCCAAAAACAGCAATGATGTTCAAAGAATCCTCCAGTCTTTTCAGTATGCAAAGACATCTCTTCCAAAGCTGCCCTGGTGTGATGTCAGAGTTCATGGAACCTCTTTTCCGAAAACGTCCCTCCCTCAGTTGTTATACTCCTGCAGAGCCTGAGCCATGAAGAGTTTGCCCAGGTTCTGGGCAGTGAACTCCTTGATGTTCTGGCAGTAGGTGTTGATCTGGCCTGTGTAGGTGAGAACAAGAGAGAAAGGGAGAATTTTCATGTTCTATAGAACCCAACGCAAACCAGAAAGTCAGCATAGTACAGAGCTTCCAGTATTCTGTCTAAAATCAAGAACTTAAGAGAATTCTATTTTTCCATAAGAGATAAGGAATGTAAGTTCTTTCGAAAGTAAGCTGTCTTCCACTCTTGATTACATGGAGAATGAAGGAAAGCCACTCACTCTTTAAAGGCTATCAGCCTAAGAACACATTAGCTACTAGTCAGAAAATTCTGACTATGCAGATTAGACCAAGGCTGCACGAGACAACTGAGGAGGCTCACTGACTCACCCTCACAAGAAGGGAGAGCCTCACAAAAAGTCACAGAACTGCAAACCCAGACCTGATGTAAATAGTAGAGCAGTTTCTAGCCTGTGCTAAACGTGAAGGGGTCATTCCAGGCCAGGAAAGAGAAAGAACAGAGTCCATTTGAAGTCACCGCTTTTGAGTCTTAAAACTAATTATCTTATCTGATGCAGTAGTTACACATTTCTTGAAAGTATAAAAACCATAATGCTGTTTGAACTGGACTTTAAGGAAGGAAATGTGTCTTGGTTTCCCAAATTTAGTGTATATGTGTACTAGAAAGGTTTAAGAAATCTGGATTTCTCCCCCATATATATCAATAGACTTGAGAAACTGTTGAAGATAGGCTTTTGAGTAGGATTATCACTCTAATAAAATCCCTCACAATTAGCTGATTAATCACATAGCATTTAACATTTCTGCAGGAATAAGGATACAGTCAAATAAGAGCATGAATGAAATATATTTGAGATCAAATCCTGCACATCACACAGGATCGCTATCACCTGAAGGTGACGCCAAATGCCAGAGAAAACTAATCTAGAGTCACACTTGTGTTGCCACAGTTTAAGTCAAAGGGAAACATTCGGCAGAGCAAGGGCCTGAGCTAGATGGTCTTTGCATTATGGGACTGCAAACCTTTCTTTCTTGGCTTCTATGAAAGATGACTTTTCCATTTTAGAAAGTTTACAAGGCCATCTCAAAGAAGGTCAGACAGAGTAAAGCATGCAAAGAACCTGAGAAATCACAAAGGCACGTTCTCAGAAACCACAAGTGCTAGGTTCAAGACCACCCTACACCCACGTGCAGTCAGCGAGCTCTGACGTGTACTGTTCTGTCTTAGCCTGTGCTTGCTGCTGTCTCCAGCATGAGGAAGCAGTCAGACTTGAGCGCACCTGCTATGAGCAGCGAGTCCATCCGGGCGGGGGGCTGTGGTGGCTTGAAGAGCTTGGATAGGTCCTCCTCAGGCAGTGGGGGCTCTCCCCGGCTCTGGCGCTGCATGTTCTCCTGCTGACGACGCTGCTGATACTGCAATCAAAAGGAAAACCATGGGGTTCTCTTCTCCTGAGAAGAAGAAAAGCCCTCCTTGCTCACGAGCAAAACCTCACGGCTTGAACTCCAGTCTCAGAGTCACCAACGGCAATGACTGTATTTTGCTTCTAAAGTAAATATGGCTACAGGAGAAGAAAATTCCCTTGGTGTATGCTCTAGTGTCACTTTGAGCTCTAAGGGTTCTAAACAAATGATTCAGAAAACAAAACTGGTCGTGTGAGTAGCAGGGGCTTAAAAGGTGAAGAAGCTCATGATGGGGGTGGGAGGGGTGGAATGGGAGGGAGCCCCTGACACTGATGGCAAGAAGGAGCAAATGAGCCATTCATAGCGCTAACAATTGGGTCATGAATTAACACACTGGTTGTTCTGTTTATTTTATCCCCACTGACCTAAGAATAACAATGCTGACAATGTTATTATGGCTGTGATCACTATTATTACTCAACAGATACTCATCTGTTCTAGCTGAGAGTGGATACCAGCTCAGAAACCATTTCCAGTACTTTCAAACTCTGGGTTCCTAGGATTCTCTGAAGAAAAGTGGGATATGTACCAAGGTATAGACAAAGGTATAAGCAAATAGATCAGTTACAGTAAGAGCCAAGAGCTGTGGATTACTCCAACAGTGCAGGAAATACTATCCCACACACAGCCTTAAAATAAGTCAGGTATAAGGAGCCAAAGTGGGCTGGTAAAAATGTAAAGTTCTTGGATTCCTATGAAAACCAAGGGAAATGATAACTCTTTCTAAAGAAGGAAAGTGACTTGTTCTATAAAGATTTCTGCACTCATTAGGTGGTATGAGAGCAGAAGGGAAACAAATCTAAGAAGGCGTATGAGTGGTGCTGGTACATTAATGAGTAAGTGCCAAGTTTCTTAGGACATATAGAGCTCCGAAAAATATCTATAAGACTGTATTCCAGAACTGACTCCCACAGGCGGCAGGCACTTGGTATCTACACGGGAGCCAGCAGGAGTGAGATCAAGTGGGGCAGGGTCTCCCCTTCTGTCTGTCAGAGGTTGGCAACCACCGTCATCTTTTCACTTTATAGAAATATATATGCTTTCTCAATTCCAAGTGTGGTAGAAGCAACATATTCTAAATTTCACTATATACTGTATATGAACTCCAATATCAAACTTTTTAAAGCACACTGTTCGCAGAACTACTTAGTTGTGCGTAGAATACTGTACTTAACAATAATCTGTTTAAAGTACATTTTAATGAAAAGAGAGGTCACATATAAATACTACTTTCACATGTAAACATTCTGTGAACCAAATGCTCTAGTGTCACTTTGAGCTCTAAGGGTTCTAAACAAATGATTCAGAAAACAAAACTGGTCATGTGAGTAGCAGGGGCTTAAAAGGTGAAGAAGCCCATGATGGGGGTGGGAAGGGTGGAATGGGAGGGAGCCCCTGACACTGATGGCAAGAAGCAGCAAATGAGCCATCATAGAGCTAACAATTGGGTCATGAATTAACACACTGGTCGTCCATTTTAGCACAATACAGTCCAAAATGCATTGTGGGCATGGTGAAAGCAAGTGGCCTTCAGGTAGCACTACCACGGAAAGGGGCCATGGCTGTGCCCATGTACACAGGCACCCGAGGACATTCAGGGGCCTAGGGCTTCTGTCTTACACTGTCTACTTCACAGCAGTTGGTCTATTACTTCCTATCACAACAGGCTGTTGTCACAACTGCTCAACTTTTTAGTGGTCTGAAGATTGCTAACCACGCTGCCATGAGCCACTGCCAAGCCAATGACAGTTAGGAAAGAAATGAGCTATAGTCCTTGGAATCTCTGCCTCTGAAGTTCGCCATAAATGTACCTCCTGTTTGCATAACCTTAGCACTGTACTTGAGCTTAACACTCTGGCTCTTTCTAACACAGGTGTTTGTAAGTGCAACATGTATATAATACAGTAGAAGCATACTCTATAAAGGATAATCTCTAGAAATACAGAGATCCAGAGTTACAAGCTAGTAACAGTCACTGCTTCCCAAAGACCATCCAGAAGTTGAGGTCTGCAGTCTCACATGCAGGGCAAACCCCTGAGCCCCAACACCAACCTGGTGCTTCTGCTGCTGCTGCTTGCTGGTGTTCCTCATGTATGTGTTGTACTTTACAATGTCTTGGCTCATCTCATCCACTCTGTCCATCAGCAGCTGCAGGTTCTTCCCCAGGTGATTGCTGAAACAGAAACACACCAACACACCTTACTTTATGATGGGGGCTTGCCCCTGCTCCAAAGTTCTGCAATGTGAACCTGATCTGCCTCTCCTAGAGGATGAGGACAGCGCCTGCACAAGAACAAGGTAGAGGGCAGAGTCATGTCACTTGGCTAATAACATTCCTATCAGACTCACACTGGGATCTTCGGGGCATCTGAAATAGCTTCGTCTCATGGCGAGAGCTCAGGTATGTTAGGAAGGACACTTACACCTAATGAGACATCATTAAAATTCACTACTCCTGAACCTTTTTCGTCATACCCCTAAATGTGCTCCAAAATGCTCAAGAAACTAGTCACAGGAAAGAAGCTTGCAAAGAGATGACTACTTCTGGCATATGATTTCTCTATCTAGAAGGTTTTGGATAAGTAACAGCAGAACTTATTCTACAAAGCCAGTGAAGAGGCTCGTGCCTGTCCTAGAATCTATAGTACAGTCTTTCATACTTCTTTTTCTCTCCAGAAATTTCCATTGCACATCAGCTACTAAAATCTCTTTATTTTTTGAGTTGGAGTCTTACTCTGTCATCCAGACAGGAATGCAGGAGCATAATCATTACTACTGCAGCCTTGACCTGCTGGGCTCAGGCAACTCTTCCACCTCAGTCTCCTGAGTAGCTGGGACCACAGGAGCATGCTACAACACCGAGCTGATTTTTTAAAAATTTTTTGTAGAGACAAGGTCTTGTCATGTTGCCCAGGCTGGTCTTGAACTCTTGGTTTCAGGCAATCCTCTCACTTCACCCTCGCAAAGTGCTGGGGTTACCAGAATGAGACACCACGCCTGGCCTAAAATCTCCTTATAAAGTGATGTAATGGAGCCAGGCACAGTGGCTCATAGCTGTAACTCCAGCACTATGGGAGGCCAAGGAGAGAGAACTGCCTGAGCCCAGAGGTTTGAGACCAGCCTGGGCAACATGACAAGATCTCACCTCTACAATAAATCAAAATTAAAAATAAATAAAATGATATCATAGTTGGTATAATGACCACCATATTCACTGATTTCTGTCTACAACTATCTCCTATCATGGTAATGCAAGGACAGCTATTATGTGCATATATATAGCTAGACACACACACACCCCCTCTATAAATAGGAAGCTGACAGACAGCAGCGACCCATCACTTGAAAGCAATATTTCCAAAATTCCTATTTTGTGCTAGGAGACAGGGAGACAAGAGTGAATGAGACATCCACAAGCCCTACTTCACTGAGCTCCTAATGGATGAGGAATAGGAGGTGAGGAGACACTTACTCTAGAGGGCACGGTCACAACCTTGCCTTGAGAAGACAGTAGATTGACAGGGAAACACATGATACATTTAGAGAACTGTAAACAATCCAGCGCACCAAGGGCACGGGGCAGGGCCAGATCCAGAGAAAGAGCTGTGGCACAGAAGAGGCAGGCAAGAACCATGGTACAAAGACTCTAGTAAACACAAACCACCCATCTGGATTTGAGTCTAAGGAGCCAGGGAACTAGCTATGGGTTTTAAGCAAAGGAACAATATATGAGCATCCAATTTGCATTTAGGGAGACCACTACAACTTTGAAAGAGGAAATGGTTAAAATCAGGAAGTAAGGAGACCGTCAAAGTAATCAGGAACAGAAATAATAAGGTCCTGGCCCATGGTGGTCCAAGTCATGGAAAGAAGACAAAGTCACCCCAGGAACACATGTGGGGCAGAAAGACCCTGGGGAACACGGATGCTTAGAGATAAGCACAAGAGATCTCCCAGTGGGGTGTGAGGAGTCCAGACAAGCTGCAGTGTCAAGACATCCAAGACAGCAAGGTGAGGAGTCAAGGCTGAAGAGCCTACAACACCTGTGACACAGTGACATGAAGTCTTCTGTGACTCCAGTGAGAGGTCTAACATACAATGGCTGGAAAGCCAGAGTGTTGAGCTAGGTGGGAAATGAGGAAATACAGACACTAACATGCAGGGACTTCTTTCAGGAAGTCCAACTGTGAAACAGGAGAAAGTGGACCCGAAGGTAACATGAGATGGGTCATGATGGCCTACAGCTGGAAGACATTCCTTTTATACTTTTTTTTTTTAAAGATGGAGGATACTTAAGTAAGTTTCAATGTCCTTATAGGACGTTTACAGGAGATGCAAGCTGAAGTAGTAAGGGGTTATAAATCATGTTTACTTCCAAGTGGTTTCAGGAAAAAAGTATATATTTCTGTATGCAATAGACAGAGAGTATGTGCAAATGTGCCAAGATATACAACTGGCAAATCTAAGCAAAAGACGTACTGGTAGATGTTTGTTGTATCATTCTTCCAAATTGTCTAAAGAGTTGAACACTGTAAAAAAAAAAAAAAAAAGCACTACTATTGAGAGGATGTGAACATCTATGAAGAAGGGGACAGACCAGCCTAGTGAGGTCCCAAGAAGACATGAGGACAGGGACAGGCCTCAGGGGATCCTTTCCTTTTCCCCAATGAGAAAATCAAGGGTCAAAGAACTATAGTAAATGTAAAAGGAAATAAGAAAAAGGAAAGTTCCCCACCAATCCTGTGACTGGGAGGCTACAGGGAAAGCAGTGACAGCAGAAAAACCAAAGGAAACGGTCTGCCATGTGCAGAGAAAAGTCCACTATTTGCACCTAGACCTGAAACCTTAGAGGTTGTCTATACTGATTTTAACAATGAGAAAGGTACTACTAAAACAGATTCCCACCCCCACTTCCACCTCAAAATATCCTTAACATGAAGTACCAGCATTCTCTGCTGCAAGTAAATACACTAGTGAAAGAACACTGCCACAGGCCATATATTGGACTTTAAGGATTCTCTAACAGTTATCTATGATCGTGACCTGAAGAAACACAAACAATCAGAAACACTCAAGCATCTGCACAGGACAGGCCTTAATGGGTACTAGAAAGTAATAATGCCTAACTATCTCACAGATAACATTCACAAAAAAATCAGACCCATGACCAAGAGCAATTCTATAGGGATCTTCTCAGTACCAGTTCAACAGAATTTTGAACTGGGGCCTCACGGTGAGAAATTTCAAGAATACAGCCTTTTCTTTCATTGCCAAGGAAACAAAGAACTGAAAACACAGAACCTGAACAGACATGAACCAAGACAAGAAGCATTAAGCCCGCTCTGGCTATAGCATGCTGATCACCCCTTGTGTATGATGCCCAACCTTATGATACCTCTTTTTAAAAAGAGGAAATAAAAGCTGAGTTGCTTTGCATGCATAAAAAGCTGAATGCCTCTGTTACACATTTTAAAATTAATAAAGGCAATAGGAAGACATTCTCCTGCTCCCCCCGCAAAAATAAAATAAAATGAATAAAAGTTGTTATGAAATATCCACTACTAGAACTCCCACCTAATACAATTAAAATTTTCAACTTTTTAAAAAAAAGAACACAAGCTGTTTTACTCATAGCACAGAACAAATGTATCAGGTAAATTTAGAACTGGCACCCACGTCCAGGTTGTGAAAGGGAAGACCAAGTGTCCTAGGAATGTACAAGAACAACTTCTGACGAGGTTTCTCATAAACACTTTCACAGCAGCTGGCTCGACTGCCATCATCACACAACTCATGTCAGAAGTTACAATCCGAAATATCTACAGGTACACACAGTACAGTGCTCTCATGCAGGTCACTGTGAAAGTCCACTAGCATCAACACTGTCTCAAGGGTGCTTCATTTTTTTCTCCCAACAGGAACAAACATTTACACCTAAAAGCATTTCACATGGAAAGTGAAGGGTTTCTCTTTCTGTCACATGAAAATATAAAAGATAAAAACTAGAATCAAATATACGTCTAGCTCTTAGTTGTGATGGAAAACCGGGAACATTTCCTGGCTATGAGCAATGCTGCTCTGGAAAGTGGAGAGTATGGCCCACCACGGGTGGAGGACAGCACCACAGGGCTGCGTGTTCTGTGCGTTCAGGGAAGGAAAGGAGGCCTGGGGACAGGAGGGCATATGTAGTGAATGTGAAATTACAACACCAAAACGTACTTCATACATCAAGTTGTAACCCTGCATGTTGAAAAAGGGTCTCAGCTTTAAATACAGGTGTGCTGAGTGTGTTTGTGAAAGCAATAAAGAAAAATATGACTTTCTAAAATAGATAGATTAAAGGAGTATCATGAACACATGCTTGCAGACAGTACCCTCTGGTGCCAAATGAGCACTGCAGCCTGGTTGCCACTTAGCACTCCATTCCTGCCCTTGAGACCTGCTAGTGGCCTTTGTGATGGATTAATACCATGGAAGGTGACACTTCAACCACAGGCTTACTCACACCAGAGCATAAAGGAACATCAAGGTGTCTGGTCCTTCTGGGCTCATCTCATCTGCCTTCCACTGAAGAAGTACAAAGTCTGTATTGTATATTCTTTTTTACAAACCTCTATCCAGGATGAACAGGAATCTGATAAATAACTGAGCTTCTGCTCCAAACTAACTGCTCAAAAAAATAAAAAGACAACCCTTGTTTCTTTTAGCCAACATACATCGATTGTCTACCTATTCAATTTCAACTACTGGTCTGAGGCTAGCCTCCTCCCACCACAGGGGAAAAAAAAAATCACTAACATAAAGCAAAAAGGGCATTTAAGAGAAGCTAAATATGGGACTTTTTAATTACAACTGGCACTCCTTCAAACATGTGCTCAAAGGTGATATTTGCTTTTTTTCAATCTATGAAGCATGTTAAAAATATTTTAGTCTGATGGTCAGAAGTAAGAGTTAAGTTTCAACATTCCTGCTAAGAGTAATAGATAGAGGGAATAAACTTCAATTTTATAAAGAAAACAATCTGTTTTGCAACACCTCAATCAGCATTTTACTCATAAACATAATCTTACCAACTAGCTAGCTAAAGCAGTCACTCTGGAGGGAATCCTGTCTCCAACTACCTAAGATAGCCAAAGCCCGTGTAAGGTGCAGGAAATTCAAATCTTAGTTGAAAATTTGAACTGGAAGTTTATTACTGACAAAGTCTGCATTGAAAAAGGGCGAGTACAACTGGCAAATGGAGGAAGCGTTTCCATTTCTGTCTCCATCCTTCCCTGGAACATTACTAAATAACCAGGGGTGATACCATGTGCTTCTCAGAATAGTGCACAAGAAACAAAGCAGAATGAAACAGCCTCCTTGTGGCACTTACCATATCAAAGCATAAACGATGTGGCAAAGAAGGAAGCAGAGGGTTCTTCTAAAGGAGAAATTAGTTTTCTAGCCATGTGCTTCACTTTATCAGTTAGGTGTTTCTCCTGGGATCTTAACAGAACCTGGCAAATACTAAAGGCTACACATGTCTTAACGACCTGAACATGTTCTTAAGTTATTGTTTTCTTGTTTCACAGGTGAAGTCTGCATGAAAGAATCTTCTGCATTAAGTTATGAAAAAGGAACTTTTCATTAGGCAGGGCCACTTACCTGCTAGCAAGACTGAGCAATTCATGTTTATCGGCTACGGCTGACTTCTTTTCAAGTTCCCACATTAGGACATTGATCAGATGTGAATTTTTAATTACAATCGGCACTTCTTCAAACATGTGCTCAAAGGTGATATTTGCTTTTTTTAATCTGTGAAGCATGTTAAAAATACTTTAGTCTGATGGACAGAAGTGTTAAATTGACTATTCCATATATTTTACCTAATTACAGGCCCTCTCCAGGATCTTTGTCTCATTAGCATTCTTTAAAAAATAAAATAAGGGGTAAAGAAGCTAGTTTTACAGAGTCAAGTCTAAGTTGAGTGATTTCAGAAACTTTGAAAATGATATGAATTTGAGTTAAAGAAAATAAAGTTTTTATTCCTTGTAATCAGGTATCTTTAGAATTTCATTGATGTTGAAATGTAAATGTCACAGTAAGTTAATGCTGTACAACCTACATCTACAACTCAATTTAAAACAAATAGCTAGAAAAGAGAAACACTCTATTTCTTGGACTAGAGATGAACAAGCAGCAGAGCACTCTAGGAACTCCGCACACAACAGCTTAGACGCAAGAGTGGCTTCACCAGGAACTGTTCACAAGTTAGCTGGTCTTTTAAAATTCTACACACTTAAAGTTTTAGGAGCCAATTGGGAAACTAGAAATGAACTGTCCTACATGAAGTTAAAGCCACTAACTGATTTAATAAGAAATAAAATTGTTCACACAAAGAATTATGGTGCTGCAAAAAAAAAAGCAATAAAACAAATAAAAATTTCTATAACAAAAAATGAAACAATTCTAAGTAATTACAAATTTTTAAAAAGCAAATATTCCAAAGCCACTGAATAGGATCCCAAAACAGTTTTAACAGTTAATTCTTGGCATTCCCATCACCCACAAAATTCCCAATAAGCCACATTTTTGACTGAATCTGTAGAATGTTTCTATCTTTCCCATCCCCTCACAAAACAGGGGCTCACAACTGGGCAGACAGAGCTCACAATCTCACAGCCGCTGGCCACTCCTTTTTTCTCCCTTTATTCAATCATTCATTTCTTCCAATTCAGTAGCTAATTAATTCCCACTCTAATTGAATTCACCCTTGGTAAGAACAGATGAGACATTCCCTGGAAAATAATTTGAACATGGAAAGGCAGAAAGCAAGTGGCAATGAGGATGCAGAAGACTTCTACAGCACACATGGCAAAGGCATTACCACATGACAAGCAGGGGCTCAGTAAACGTGGCAAACAAAATCCTTAAAAAAAAAAAAACACCCCACCCATTACCATCTGCCCCAAACACTTACGCTTCAGGGGAAAAATCTTTCTCTTTACAGACTTCCATCAGTTTAGGAGTCAGTCTATACGCCTTCAGAGAGAGGGACCCTTGGGCAGTTTTTATGGGATCTTAAACAAGGAAAAGAGAGAATGTTGTCACTACCAGAGTTCAAATGACACTGGTTCTAGGCACTTTCTGTTACATATCACACAAACTTTGCAAAATAAATATCAAAATAAATAACCAGAACACAATTGAAGCAGACCCAAATTATTATAGAAAACAGCAAGTGAAAATGTAGGACTATCTCTATCTAATTTACAGTAGGTAGAATCACTTTCTCTCTAAAATAAAACTGAAGACCCAAAATAATTTTCAAATCCATTCCTCAGCAAAAACCAGCCATCTTGCTGAAATTCAATATATCATGTCCTACACATCTTGTAATAACTAGGAGGAAATAACTGATAAATATTGAACATGAAGACTTACTGCATGTACTTGTGGAGTGCAGTCACATCACTTAAAACGAATAGCCCTGCAAACAAAATTCATCCATCCTAACAATCACTGTTCACATTCCTTAGTTAAAACAGATTCTAAAAGCAAAACCACTAAAGCCCAAGTGCTATCACAAAAGTGTCACTTTAGTTTTGGAGAAACTAATTTTGTCAAAACCGCTGAAGCACTCCGTGAGTAAGGAGCTTAGCACTCGCGGCATGATAACGGCTCTGGCAGGCCAATATTCGCCCAAAACCTGTGTTAACATTCATGTTGTCTGAAACTTAACACAGTGAAACTTTTAGCAATAGGTGATAAAATGAAAACCAAAATAGATTGAAACAAGTGGAAAATTCATCAAGGTCTGATGATGCAATGTTTCCAGCCAATATAAGTACACTTTAACAACTTGTTCTTTACTGTAATCCAATTGTTAACATACTGAAACAATTTGGGGGCAGCTCATAAGATTGATCGTATTCATTAGTATTTTTTCTGACAGATACTCAGGACGTTACATTTACTTCTCAGCTGGAAACTATATGCAAGTCTGCCAGATATGGCAAACTGTGAGTGTTTGGGGAGGGGGAGGCCATAAAGCTGTTAAATTACCTACAGTTCTGATACAGCACAGAACATCTGGTCTGGAGAGCTTGAGGAAACACCATTAAATAGGCCGAAAAGAAAAAAATCTTTGTGCTAAGAAACAGTCCAGGTTTTGTACGCTGTTGTCAGAGGTATAAAAAAACTTGGCATGCTGTCTGATGATTGGTCAGTCACGTACAGAGCCAGACACTCCAGCAAGTGGGGTTTGTTAGACATCTGGTCTGGTTCCACCAGCCCCTCAATGAGGGAGGGAGATGGAGGAATAAAAATGAAGCAGCTACTCCGGCATTCCAAAATGTACACATCAGGGCTCTGATAGCAAGAAAAATAAACAGAAAGAAGGAAACCCTGTCTAGACTGAGCTGCTGCTGAGGCTGCTGCAGAAACAGGGTTGGAATTTACTTGAGAAGGCCTGCCAGGCTGCTCTCAGAGGCAAACAACACAGCAAAAATAGCAGTAATAATATTAAGAGAAGAGAAGAGTAATGCGGCAAGCTCCTACTGACCATAGATGAGAACGACAGATTCCTCAATGGCATGCTGGTAACTGAACTGGGAGTCCAGCAGTGCGCGGGTGACAAACGAGCCGTAGTAGGTGGACTGGTACCAGCCCACATGCAGGTGGTCGATGTTCACGTGGCGCAGGCTCCGCATCATCTCCATCTGATACTGGACTGGACAGTAGGGAGGAAAGAAAACGGCTGAACAGGGCCCCAACACCCAAACAAGCCTCTTGGGAAACTATTCATTAGCTATCAGGAGCAGGATCCCAGATTTAAAATTCATTCAGTTCATGTAGAAAGCAAAACAAAATTAGGCTTTCCACTCACTGGGGATTCCCTTTATTTCTTTAATGAAAAACGTTTTGCAAAGTATTAAGCACACAATATTAATGTGTTGTTCTAACCAAGAAATTAGTAAATGTGGTTTTCACTCCCCTTTTTAAAACTCTAAAAATAGTAAATGTTTACAGAAAATGTGTGTAATTACTAAACAGGCAGGATGTAAGATGTTTCATTTGGATTAATAAATGAGAAGAATTATCAATCTCCTCTTCACACAGCTTTTAGACTGAGAAGTTACGACCATCAGGAAAACGAAGGGAAAGCTAGTACCACATTATTTACATGTGATCGGGACACAGGCTAGTGCTGACTTTAAGTAGGAGGACTCATTTTTGCCTTCATTTGGTGCCCCCTGCTGCATATTCTACATTTTAAGAAGAATTATATTTTTCTTGTCTGTGTTTCTTCATGTTAACAGACACTATTTTTTTCAATAGAATAGAGTTATATTTTAGTCATTACGTATGGAATAAAAACATTTAATGACTTTTAATTTTGCCAAATTAATGACTATTAACATATTACATTATCTTAAAGCAGTATTATCAGGAAAATAGGCTCAAACTGACAATACAATAAATGACATTTTAGAAATTAATATAGCACAATAATGCATTGCAAATATATAATACAGGAGAAAGAAAACTTTGTAGTCAACATAATATCCAAGCTATTTTTATTATAACAAATGCATAACCATGTTGAGTGAACATATTTGCTTGACACAGAACCTAGCCGTTTCACTGCCAAAACTCTTAGTTTTAGCAAAAGTAAAGTTATATGTCATCATTCTTTTGGTTATAGCACTATGGTTCTACAAAGAAAACAAGATTCAGGATCACAAGATATAAAAGAGGCTTCCTCAGATGGACAGTCTTATTTTCCATCACTTGTTAATAGGCAAAGAAGTTATAAATCTGCTTATTCCAAGGAAAGTTATATTTCCTCTGCTAAAAGATGGCAGCAAACTCATCAACTACTCAAGAATGATGTGTTTTTAGAGTTTTTCTTCTGCTATGCAGAAAAGTTAAAGAAATCCAAACAAAATTCTCTGACCACTCTCTGAAGGGACTTTCTCAAGCCCATGGCAGTTGCAGCAGAGCTGGAAGCTTGTTCTACTGTCAAGATGCATACCAGTTTAACTAACTGTTTTTTAAAGGCTCAGCCCTTCGCAAAAAGGAAAGGTGTTAATACAGAGGTGATTTGGCTAGCATTACCTTTTTTTGTTGTTTGTTTTTAAGAGTATGGGGGAAAAGTGATACTAATAATACACCAGACACTTTTATATCCCAAACCACTGTGTCTGTAGATGAATGAAATGTGAAAACAAGTCATTTCACCATGTTCCATTCTAAACCACTATTAAAAACATCACAACCTTAGATCTATTTGATATACAATATGACAGCCTGAAAAAGCAGTATAAAATTAATATGACAATCTCCTATCAATTATCTTTTATCTCCCACTTTATCTCTCTGGCATATAGTAGAACTCCTACCTCCCCAGCTAGTTTAAGAGTCTTAGCAATCACATAAATTTGGGAAGTGGGACAGAATCATTGCTATGATCCCTGCTTTAAATTTCATAATTCTTTTAAACCAAAGTAAAATCTCTGATTTGGTCAATGAATTTTAAAGTTATTTTATGAATGGAAAGTCCCAGTAAACAAAACAATAAATAGTAAAACAGGATCTGAAACTAAATTTATAGTTTATTTTGAAGGGAAAGGGAAGAGGAGATGAGGAGAGATTATCAAACAACTGACAATATGAACAAGATTTTATAGAACAATTTTTTAAAACCAGCACTTACAAAGCATATTGGTATACAACTCAGCTAAAATACAAGCAGAGATTGGTTCTACCAACTTACAATAGTAGAAAAGAAAAGATGAATATAAAGGTTAAAGGGTCAATTAATAAAATACCTTATAAAAATCTACAATGCCCTGGAATCTCACATCATATAACAAAATATGTGCTGAGTCTAATCTGTCAAGATCCTGGACATTCTTACTTGGTTTGGACTTTTCACCCAACTTTAACTATTAAAAAGATGCTCTCTCAGAAGCATCCCACAGAGCAAAGAAGGATCCAAGAGGCCTGCACATGAGACTTGGAAAGTGGGTGACAGAGACCCAATGAAAGCCAGGGTACACAGGACCCAGTTCTCCGAGGACTGCTCACATGAAGTGCCAATGAACACATTGCTCTTCCGATTTTATACAACCCAGAAACAAGAGACACAGCTCACAAACCGTGTGCACATCTGACCTCTGCTGACATTTAGGTCTGTGTCCTCAGTCTAAAGTAGACGTGCACATGGATGATCCCCATCTCCCTCCACACACACAGTTTCTCCTCCATCTCATGCCCAAATTTTCAAAAAGTGCAAAACCAATCCTGCAAAGCTTCGGGTGAGCCTAAGAGGAACAGCCTGACTATCTCAACACTGAGCTACTGGCAGTCACCGCCCATCAACTGAGCCGAACTGCCATGCCAGTTGCCATCTGTTTACCCCTCTGCCTATGGCAAAGGCAGGGACATGGTGAAATAACACACTGGGAAACAAGGACCTTTCCTTCCAGATTCTCATCTCCTGGGTGAAGGCCCTGCTTCTGACTCTTAAGAGTGAGGCTGGGAGAGCAGGCAGGCACACCAGAGTGCTGATTTAGGTAAATGGGAGGTATCTCAGGTAGCTGGGAGTGGTTTGTGGCACCGGGGAATGCAGGGTAGTGCTGGTTGCCTCCTCATATCCAACAGGTCCTCACTTTGCTGGCTGGAGTTGAAAGAGGAGGATATAAAAGATGGAAGTCAGACTCACCCCTATCTAGGGAGTGGCTCACACCTCAGAAAGAAGAGACTCACAGTCAAAGAGACAAAAGGAAAAGAAAAGGAGGCTTCTTGATACTGTCCCAAGTGCCCATTGCTGGCAACTCTGCATAGCTGTCAGAGCTAAACGTGTTGCCATTTTTGTTCTAAAGTTCTCATATTCAACAGAAGCCAGAACAGCAATTTCAACCATATGAATGACATTCACTTCTGAGTGGATGGCTAAATATTTCTGGGGAATTTCCCAAATATCCTACTGACTGAGCAAAAGCAGGATGCAACAAATGAATTTCAAAGACAAATTAGTGGTTTCTATTAAGCCAAACTCAAATGACAAATACAAAAAGCTGCACTTTTATAGTGGCAGGAAACTATGGGGGGCGAGGGGGCAGGGAGGGGAAGGGAGGTGGGATTAACGGTAATCGATATCTGTCTGGGGACAGGGGGGCACACCTCATCAACAAGGGTACCTGCACAATGCATATTTGTATACCTAACCCTTAACTGCACTCCGCAATTTTAAAATTAAAAAAAAAGCAGTAAAAAAAAAAAAAAAAAAGCTGCACTTAGATGCAGTTGAGGCGATACTACAAACTTTGAAAGGATTATAAAATGGGCTGAAATTTTGCGAATCTCTTCAACCTCTACAACTATCTTAATTGGCTAAGCCTCTCCCAAGCAAAGAAAATCCTGCTTTACAACACTGAGTAACTTGTTGAAGTTTGGCACCAGGATATTCATATTCATTTTTTCCAGATATCCTCCTCTGCAAAACAATCCATTATCAAGTGCTGCCAAGAGCTAAAAACTTTCTTAACTGAGGCAGGCTGCCCAATTAGTATTCCTTTAGAATAAATAAATAAATAAATAAATGACCACACTTGTCGGGCTTTCTCTTGTTTTATCTTCAAATATGAAAACACTGAAAATAATACATTGTCTCACATTTAAATGTGGTATCTGGAGTTACACTGTAAAAAAATAAGCAAGAGTGTGAGATCCAAGCACCCTGAAGATTACTGGCAAGGACAACAGAGTGCGAGCTTTTCAGTCCAGAAGAGTAATTCACCACCATTCTTTTCACCTTTAATGCTTCATCTTCATTTTTCAAAATATATTTTTGATTGTACTGCCTTAAGTGAGCCCTCATGAAATAAAACTTCTTACTGAAAACCAGGAGCAAAGACTCGCCACCGTTGGATTAGATAAACTAAAGTAGGAAAGTAAAGCTACAGTATACTCAAAATTAAACACTCGAGACCTGCCCTGCGGATTGAAGAAAAAAAGTGTTTTACATATGTGTTGTTATTAAGGAACTCTTAATGGAAAAAGTAATCTAAACTTTAAAAATTAAAAACACTTTAGGGACCTACTTACTGTCTAATAATGAGTAACTTCATATTTTATCAAATAAATCCAAATTAGTTAAAGCGACATGGCAATGAAATTATCTTAAAAATAAACATAGATAGAGTCCATAGGAAGTGTGGCACTAGACACAAGGAAAGAAACTGCCACTCAGTGAGCAGTCCTTGTGTCAGACTCCCTGCAAAGTGGGCCACATCATCTAACTTTATTCCTCACATTGATGCTAATTAGTTAATCATGATTCTTGACATTCTTTCAGAAGAGTTGATTTTGTCACAGCTTCAACTTCTATTCGACTCAAACTCTGACTCTGAAGCCGAGGCAAGCACCCATCTAGCGAGGCTCAGCACTGCTGACATGAGGAGCAGGGTTCACTGCACATTCACACAACAGAAACCTGCAGCAAACTGCAGGCTTTCTCAACCACAGCCTGTGTATGTCTGATCACTACATTAACCCATAATTTAGCAGCACCAGTAAGATTTTAAGTGATAAAACTACCAAAGATTTTTTAAATGTCAAAGTTGATAAATATCACAAATATGCCATCAAACTCCTAAAATACTGCATTTGATGTTGCAATGAGGCTTGTGCCAAGAGTACTCTGTAACTAAGTGCTGGCTCATA